TCAGCTCAGGTCATGATCTCACGGTTTGTGAGTCTGAGCCCTGCGTGGGGCTCCATGCTGTCAACACGGGGCCAGCTTGGGATTCTCTCTCTCTCCCTCTCTCTGCCTCTTCCCTGCTCACGCTCTCTCTCTTTCTCTCTCTCAAGATAGATAAATAAACTTAAAAAAAATCTTTAAAAGAAAATTGAAGTTGACCGTCATAAGTAAAGAGGTACATTGTAATCACTAGAGTGACCACTCAAAAACCAGCTTTCAAAAAATACTGCTAAAAAAACCAATAGAGGAATTTAAACGGTCCACTAAGAATTGTTTAACACAAAAGAAGGTAGTGACAGATTAACAGAGAGTAAAAACAAAGAGCAAAAAAGGCAGCCGTAAAGCCAGTTGTATCAATAATTACACCAAGTGTAAATGAAATAAATACTCCTATCAAAGGGCAGAGACTGCACTAACGAATCAAAAAAGCAGCCATTAGGCAATGCGGACATGCAGGAGCCTGGCTGTGTTCCCATAAAACTTGAGTCATGGGGGCGTCTGGGTGGCTCAGTCAATTGAGACTCAGACTTCAGCTCAGGTCATGATCTCATGGTTCGTGAGTTCAAGTCCCTCATCAGGCTCACTGCTGTCAGTGCAGAATCCGCTTCAGATCCTCTGTGTCCCTCTCTCTCTGTCCCTCCCCTGTTCATACTCTCTCTCTCAAAGATAAATAAAACATTACAAAAAAACAAAAACAAAACCCAAAACCTTGAGTTATGGGTACTGAGACTTGAATTCCATATAATTTTTAGTGTTTTAGTGTTTTGAAATATCCTTTCTTTTATGTTTTCACCTATTTAAAAATGTAAAACCTATTCTTAGCCTGTGAGCCATACTCAATCAGGCAATGGGTGAGTTTGGCCACAGCAATAGTTTGGAAAGCTTCTTTCAGATGACTGCAACTCCACATATGTTTGAATGTAACTCCATGGAAAATCAGAGCCACACCACCCTAAGTAGGCCACTCCTGGATCCTAATTTCAGAAACCGTGTAAGATCATACAAATGTTATGGTGCTGAGTTACGGAGTAACAGAAGCCTGCTTCTGTTTCTGTGTCTCCCTCTCTCTCTGCCCCTCACCCATTCGCACTGTCTTTCTCTGCCTTTCAAAAAAAAATGAATAAATGTTAAAAAAAATTTTTTTTAATAATAAAAAAAAAGAAAGCAAGATCCAAGTATATGCTGTCTATAAAAGACACACTTTTGGGGAGCCTGGGTGGCTCAGTCAGTTGGGCGACTGACTTCAGCTCAGGTCATGATCTCTCAGTTTGTGAGTCCAAGCCCCACATTGGGCTCTGTGCTGACAGTTCAGAGCCTGGAGCCTGCTTCGGATTCTGTGTCTCCCTCTCTCCCTGCTCCTCCCCAATTGCATTCTCTCTCTCTCTCTCTCTCTCTCTCTCTCAAAAATAAATAAACATTAAAAAAGATTAAGAGAAAAGACACACTTTAGATCTAAGACACCAGTAAGTTGAATGTAAATGGATGAGAAAAGATATATCATGCCAAGAGTAACCATGAGAGAGTAAGAAGGACAGAATTACTCTCAGACACAATAGATGTAAAAGAAATTGTACTAGAGACAAAGAGGGGCATTTTGTAGTGATAAAAGGGACAATCCATCAGATACACACACACACACACACACACGTACATATATAGTAAATACATCATATATATATATATATATATATATATATATATACATATCAAGTAAAAATGTATACTAACAAGAGATCCCAAAATGCATGACAAATAGACTATTGAACAGCTATTAAGTTGTAGTAACCCTCTTTTACCAATTGATAGAACAACCAGACAGAAATTAGTAAGGATTGAGAATACATAGACACTATCAATCACTTTACCTAACAGCTAACACTCCACTTACCAAAAGCAGGACACATACACACTATTTTCAAGCACGCTTGGAAATTCTCCAGAGTAGACCAGAAAATAAGGCCATAAAATAAGTCATAATAAATGTATGCAAATTGAAATCATAGAAAGTATGTTCTCTGACCTTAATGGAATTATGTTGGAAGCCAACCATAAAGAGAAATTTAGGAAATCTCCAAGTATGTAGAAATTAAACACCCTTCTAGGGGCACCTGGGTGGCTCAGTTGGTTGAGCGTCCGACTTCAGCTCGAGTCGTGATCTCACAGTTCATGAGTTTGAGCCCCCACATCAGGCTCTCTGTTGTCAGCACAGAGCCCTATTTGGATCCTCTGTCCCCCCCTCTCTC